AAAACAAGGTTTAAGTAAATGGGTGTCCGGAGCGATGCGAAACATCAACATTCTCAAACTTCCAGTCGAAGACAAATGCAAGCAATCGTAAGAGGACGGTGAGAAAGGTAGTGAAATACAACCAGCCCATCGTTTTTGTTGGATAGGAAATTCTAGGAAATTCTTGTGGCGTCGAATTTCCCCAGACCAGAACTTTAACATTAGGTGGTCCAGATTGCAATTGCCATATTTACTTTATTCCCCTCCTGTCACGTCTAGGTGACCTGACGTCGATATATGATTGCGTTCAGTCTCAGAGTTTTATGTGCACGCTATGTCCAGAGTATAGATCAAATCCGATATCATAGTAATGTTATCTGCATACAATATGAACCCTGAGGAAGAGGCGATTACAGCACCAACATGATTTACAATTATACATCCGTGTTCAAGTTCAGCGTCAATAATGCGGTGCTATATCTACTTTCGGCAGTGTATGGGAATACATTTGCGTGCGTTCAGTCATACTGTGCAAATTCTTCACAGCTTCCTTTGGTTCGGACGTTTACAGTAAGATGTTCAGACACTGATCGCGTCAACTTCGTACAAGTAGGTGCCCAACAACTTAGTCTGGACAAAAAGCATATCAGGCGCGGTAAAACATACGTTTCAGAAAATACGCTACCCCTTCAATAAAGTTCGACTTGTCCAGTTTCTCGTTCGTCGAGCTGCGTTTGCATAAGTGCGAGTAATAAAACAAATCTGTTGTGGCTGATGAACAACTCACTGTGCACCGTCATCTCCCCTGCCCATCGGAAGCAGAAGAACATTCACGCCCAAGCTTTCTGCGAATGTAAGGGTAACAGGGATGGAACCACCTTCACGGGTTAAGTCTGGTTTAACTTTATACACAGCCTACTCAAACGATGATGATAAGCAAACAGAGTCTTCGTGGCGCGAAGATATAAATATATATACCTCCGTCGCCTTTATGGCAGCCTCGTAGTTCCAGTGTTTATAGTCAGAAACCCACGGGAGTCCTCCACGCGCGTCCTCGATATTGAGTTTGTTCTTAGAGTTGAGCTTTGCAAACTCAGATTGAAGGTATGAAATGACGAGTGGCTCGACCTTCTCAGGCGTTTGTGGAGGGACAAGCCTATGAAAACCAGTGGAAGTAAATAAGACTCTTTGCATACCCCACTAGCGGGACACTCGCCGAATACTGAATTTCCCGGAAACACAAGCTGGAATGACCGTCTTGGCGCTCGCACCACCCTCGATATTGTGAAGTGAGAGGGAGGGAGAACGCATACGGCCCATAAGTACAGTCGCCTTGTCCGAGGAGAGAGCAATTCGTGCGCCTGCGGCCTCTTCAATGTCCTTGATATCATAGTCCAAGGCGTCGTAGATGGATCTGAGTAGTTAAAAAGTGAGTATATACGTGCATAATGTTTCCAAGTTCTCTACACCTTTCCTCCGCACTGGCAGCAGAGACCATATCATCCACGCCGGGCACCAAAATTGTTCCATCCGGAGCTACGAGCTTGCTCATGAGCAGTATGAGATCGGTCATAGGTTCATGAACGGTGCGACCAAATGCACCAGAGTGTAGGTCACGAGTAGGTCCGGATACTGTCAACTTGAAGTACGCTATGCCGCGCAGACCATACGTTATACATGGTGTCCGCGTGTTGAGCCAGTAGTTGTCGGACTATGTATTCAATTAGCTCCGGATGCATTCGCAATCTGCAGACTACTCACGATGCAGACGCAGTCAACGCCAACAAACCAGCCATCATTTCCCTTCGCAGCTTCGGAGATGATGAGTTCATCTAAGCCTTGACTTCCGCTCTCTTCCATCCCCTCGAAGCAAAAGCACAAATTGACTGGGAGCTCAAGACCTAACTTTTGGTGCGCCTCCAAAACATTCAGCCACCCAAGGATCGGTCCCTTGTCATCTGTGGAACCGCGTCCAATAAGCCGGCCCGTCTCCTTTTCTACCACCAAGGTGAAAGGCTCCGTATCCCAGCCATCGCTCTTCTCCGCCTGATGATATGAGAAGCATGTGAGACATAAAACACATCGTAAATACTAGGTATGCGCAGACACACACAGGCTGTACGTCGTAATGTCCATAAATGAGTACCGTCTTCTTCTTCGAATCGTTGCCGATCTTCCCCAAGATGACTGGGGGTAGGGGTAAATCCTGGCCATCCATAACGTGCCTGCCCAAGTCGATCGACTTGGTTTGAACACCGAGGGCGTTCAGCTGGTGCTGCAGCCATGAGCCCATCTTGAAGACATCCTTACGATGAACACCGCTCGCGCTGATACTGAAAGGATGGCCGGGGATAAACAAAACTAATATTTAGGCCAGTGAAGCCGCACCTGGGGATGGCTACTGCCTCCCCGAGTCTTTGAATGAAGCTGTCTACGTGGGTGTCAACATAGCTGATGAATTGAGACGGTGCGGGCATGTCGGAAAGTGTAAAGTCGCGATGGGTAGGGCAGAAGGTGTAAGTATCAAGAGTGCTTTCGGGGGTGCGCACTGCGCGAGATCTCTCACCGATTGAGTATCAGCGTCAGGCAGCCAGGCTCAGCATCCCACACAACTAGAAAAGGAAAGTGCCGTCGTTTTCAATATTCACGAAAGTTATAGACATTTCGGCGGATGTTCTGAGGCGATTCGGCTGCGACAACAGCTTCAAAGAATTCTAACCTCGAAGACTGTTGTTCGTCTCATTTTCCGCGCTCAAGCGTCCCAGCTTCAATGAACATGCATCTTTATTGTCAGACCCATGGCTTACTGGTAGCATGGGTTGAAGATTCGGGACTGGGACTTCGTACGGAATCAAAGGTGATCACTTCAAGTCCACACTTGCTACATCTAACACAGAAACAGTGTTTCTCATGGGTACATTGTGTATACGTGTCACTATTCAAATCAACGGGTCTTGGCAGCAAGCATAAGTCGTGCATCTGTCCATTCGTCAAGTCCTCAAGAACTGATTGTTGCCGCGGCAACCTCGTACAAATAGGCCCCGAATAACTTACTCTAAAGCGCAAGAGAACGGTCAGAGCGCTAAAACGGACGTGTGTAAGGGTGCGGCTCACCCCTCCAATAAAGTTGGCTCTGTCGATCTTCTCGTTTGTCGAGCTGTGATAAAGCATGATCTGACACTGCCCTTTGGAATATCAAAATACACTCACTGAGCGCCGTCGTCGCTCCTCCCCATGGGGAGAAGGAGAACGCTAACATTACTGCCCAACGCCTCGGAGAATGTCACAGTGACTGGGACGGAGCCGCCCTCGCGAGTCAGGTCTGGCTGTGTCTGATAGATTTCCTGTTCGAGCTGAGATTTAACCAGTGAAATGGATCTACATGATATGTCACGTACATAAGTGGCCTTCGCGGCGGCCGAAAAGTGCCAATCCTGGTTATTCGCGATCCAAGGCTTGCCTTCACCCGATGTAGTGATAGACATCGAGCCCTTGGATTGCAGGAGAGCCCATTCCTGCTTCACGTAGTCTTCTACAAGTTTCGCGATCTGCTTTGGGTCCTGGGGAGGAACTATACTACATACACAAAAGCTCTCGTGAGGATGGTACACGATGGCCGACAGTTACTGGACGCTCACCGAACACTGAACTTCCCAGTGACACTGTGTGGGATGACCGTCTTGAAACCACTGTCCGAATAGGCACCATTTATACCATGTAACGAGAGAGAAGGGAAGCGCATGCGGCCCATGAGTTCTGATGCTTTGTCGTCGTAAAGCGCAACGTCAGTACCAGTGATCTCTTTGAGATCATCTAAAGTCCAATCCAACTTCTCATACTCTTCTCTGCAAGTATCGAAAGTTCGCTGTAATCAGTGCATATCCTCTATTGTATACAGCTTCTTACTTTTCTCCAGGTTGCAGGCTTGTGCCGTCATATATGTTGGGAATTAGAATCCTCCCATTAGGAGCAACGAGCTTGCTCATGATATGAACCAGGTCAGTCATAGGTTCATACACCATGCCTCCAAAAAGGCCAGAATGGAGATCCGCTTGGGGGCCAGCGATATTCAGGTCAAAGGCGACTACCCCACGAACGCCGTACGTCAAACACGGCGAACGCGTGTTTAGCCAGTAATTATCGGTCTTAAACACTCCATTAGTTCAAGCGCGAGCATCCATGGAGCACGCTTACTATGCAGACGCAGTTGACACCTGCAAACCACCCGTGATTGGGCTTCTTGGCTTCGGCGATGATCCAGTTGTCAAGACCCTCGCTGTCGCTCTCTTCCATCCCCTCGAAACAAAAGCGCAGGTTGACAGGAAGATCGAGATTACAATTTTTGTGTGCCTCTAGGACATTTAGCCAGCCGCAGAGAGGTCCTTTATCGTCCGTGGAGCCACGCCCGTAAAGCTGATGTGTCGAAGTCTCTGTTAAGGTCCACGGGTCATACTTCCAGCCGTCCTTCATGTCGGCCTATAGATATGAGTAAATCAAACAATGTTATAAAGGAAGATACCAGAGAGACGATGCAATCGTACAGGTTGAACGTCGTAGTGGCAATAGACAAGCACGGTCTTCTTCTCCGGATCTTCTCCGGCTCTTCCGAGAATCAGGTACGGCAACTGTAAGGGTTCATCACCTTTCATGACTGTCTGTCCATCGTTCATCTGAGGACCAAGGTCGATAGCCGTGGTCGTCAACCCGAACGACTCAAGTTGATCTTTGATCCATAGACCCATATCGATATCATCCTGTCTATGATTGGGATCTGTGCTGATGCTGTGAACGTAGCTCAGTACAGGTGAACTCGATAACGCGTTATTCAGAGACATACCTGGGTTTCTTCACTGCTTCCGTCAGCCGGCCGTTAATAAACTGGTCGGCGTGAGTATCAATGTAAGTGAGAAACTCAGACGGTGCGGGCATGCTGGTAGGTTAGAAGTCGATATCTAACTTGCTGATGGGACGCAGCGAGCTGAGTCCTACTTATACCTCTAGTTTTGACAGTTCATATTTCTCAGCCTATCTTAAAAAGAGCGATAAAGTATGCATCACGACTAAAATATTCACGTATGGTCAGCTGCTTGCGAAGAGAGACGAAAAATACTTACACATGCCACTAGTCGGAAGCAACGTCAGAGAAACACGTACATCTTGATCTCAACTTTTGCCACTTGACTTACCCATGTGCCTGGATGGGCAACTCGGTCTCTGTCTTTGGAGGAGTATCCAAAAACCATGTCCATACGTCTTTTCAAATTCCAGCTTTGGATTATGGGGTCGCCTCGCTTGCACTGGGGTTTTTATGGGCTGGAACCTCGGTTGTTAGTTATTGCCAATTTATAACGTTGAACGACCATGGCATACTACACGAGCTGCTATCAACATCACGGGCTTCATCAGCTGTTCCAAGCACCCGATGCCCAGACTAAATAAATGCGTACTATTTAAAATAGGCCAAGATTATCTCTGCTTTCGACGAGGATAGTTGCGTCATATTATTCGGTTCAGTAACATCCCCCCGTCTTAGAAGCATGATACTTCCGTGATGCTTCCTCACTATCAATTCCACGATCAGGCCCCGTCATGCGCCGAAGACCAATAGGCCCACACAATGCAGGGAAGGATGTTGTGAAGGTTTATGTCACCACTACGAAGCACAATGTGGACCCTGCCCACCGAGCAGAACACCTTGTGCGGCTCACCTGACGAACGCAGCTCTCCCAGATCAGTACGATGGAGGGCGATTGAAACTGATATGAAGGGTTTACCTGAGTACTGTGATATCCGGAGAGGTTCACTCAGAATATTCGCGTTGCCCACGATGGTGTGATGCAATCGCATATGCGTGCATTGTACATGTGGCCTGCCCAAAGGAGCTGACGGATGCACTGTTATTTCACGAAGGTACTCGCTGAGTTGTTCGGATTCCACTTCGAACGCAGAAAACCGAAACACGAGGCAGATAAGTTGTGGGGGACTGGCGGGCTTGGAATGTATGCGCGTGATGGTCAAGTCTGCGATATTCTTTTCCTGTTATCGTATTTATCTGTGTGATGCAAACATATTAGTATCCATACGGGCCCGACTCTGAAACGGCGCGTACCCTTAAATTTGTCATTGCGGTGCAGCTTTCAAGTTGGCGGTGGCCCGAAGGTGTGAGCGTTGGACCTTTTCCGAGTCATTCAAGTCATGTACATATTCTCATACATGATACTTCCTCGCATATATCTTCATAAGTAGCAACACTCGTGATCAGCAGTCTCAATGAAGACAATATGGCTGCATCGTAACTTGAAAGGGTAATCATTGCGCACCTCTTCCCATTCAACACCTTCGATAATTGCATTGCATCGAGCTGAAATGTCGATAAAATTTTATTAAAAAGCCAGAACGTCAGATACGGATATCCAAAGCCCGAAAAAGCGGAGATTGAAGGATCTACTCTGCGCACAGGAGACTAGCCAGTCTTCCTCAGAACGGCCTAGAACCAGAACGGCGCGGACATTTTTGGCGCCTGCACCGTCGGGCCTGATCCAGAACCTTGCCAGAACCTCGCCGCGACCCTTGAAGCTTGAAGTTGAATGTATTCACGGAAACTATCTGCCCTGGCCTAAAGAGTTGAATGAGATAACATTATTGGCCTCCCCAACGTGTCTACCCATATCACGTACGTACCCCTACCGGCTAGTTCACCGCTCGGACAGGTCTGGTTCTCTTAATTGCACACGTAAGAATAATTCCTACGAGCGTCCCGGCCATTTTTAAGTCGATTGGAGAAAGGTGAGAGAATAGTTTGGACACCTTCTCATCGAGCTACTTGACTCGCACAAGTATTCTGATGGTGGCATTGAGTTTGACTTCGAGCTGAGAAGCTCGAATCTACTCCCAAGCTCCAACTTCCCCGCTCGCAAGTTGCATGTACCGGTGATGGATATATCAGGGGTCGCGTTCTTATATCAAAGGAACGAGAATGAGAGAGTCCATACAAGCCCAGAATGAGGCGGATTCCTTGACGTAACCTACCAGTGAGTGCTAACCACCCTCTTCGACATATCGTGGAACCGGGCATATGTGCAGCTGACGAGGATTCTACTCCAGCCATTTTTCTATTGGCAGTGATTGTCTAGGAGGGAGTCATGGGGCTTAATTTCTTCATACCAGCTCCGCATATAAGAACGTGCTCTTAGTCGACTTCCTCTTCACATCATATCTCATATCTCATATCCCACCGCAGTTTGCGCCGTTCTTCACCATGTCTCGCAAAGCAACCACAGACCGTGGCTACTCTAGTCTCAATGCTGCGCACGAACGAGTTTGCGCGTCATTCCTCGGCCCCAAAGCTGAGAACCATACTATTCTTCACGACAAGTTTGCCGCAATTGCTCAAGATATTTTGGACGCACGTGAGGCGTATCACCCTGAAGATCCGGTTTGTTCCTTGTATTCTTGAACGGAGCCCCACTCATATCAAGCAGACTTTTATCGATGAAGCCATCATACAATCCGAGTCGTTTACAGATCAAGTATTTAAACTTGAGCGTCGTCTCGACTTTCTCAGCAAGTTACTCGCAAAGCACTGCATTCCCTTCTTCTCTCCCCGTTACAATGGCCACATGGTCTCTGACGCTTCCCTACCGTCTATACTTGGTTACCTTGTAGGAATGCTATGGAACCAAAACAACGTCACTCCTGAGGCTAGCCCCATCACCAGCCACGTCGAATTCCTCGTTGGACAGCAGCTGTGCAGGCTAGTGGGCTATAGTTCGTTTAAAGACGGCGTGCCTCATCCTGGCTGGGGACATATTACCTGTGATGGTAGTGTCGCTAACTTGGAAGCTACGTGGCACGTAATGACATTCTTATCTTCAATGTTAAATCTCATCTATGTCATTGCTAATTTTTTAGGGTCGGTACGTATTTTGTATGCATCTGTTAACGTTAGTTCCCGTGCATACTCATCGCATATTTTAGCGCGAAATCTCAAGTTTTACCCCCTCTCTTTATATCTTGCTGTGAAAGAGGGACAACTCTCTTTTGTTGCAGACAAGTTCGAGACGACCCTTTGCAACGGAGAGAAGAAGCTTTTTTCTGCATGTACATCTTGGGAGCTTCTTAATCTCTCAGTCGACGAGATTCTTGACCTTCCTAGCCGCCTTGTGTCGGATTATGGAATATCCACTCAGTTCATCGAAGACGCCGTGGGAGGTTATCTAATCGGGAATATAGGGAAAGACATACTCGAGCAACGTTTCCAAATTCAACCTCCCAAGATGATGATTAGTGTTGCTAATCACTATTCATGGCCAAAGGCGACCTGTGAGTGTTGTCCCAATCGACCTCTAACGCGTGATAACACTGTATTCGTTTCAGCGATCACCGGAATTGGTATGAACAACCTTATACACATAGACGTCAGCACTTCTGCTCGTTTAAACATATCCCGTCTGGATGAGCATTTGCAAGAATGCCTCAAAAATAAACGAGCGGTATATGCCGTGGTTTCAATCATGGGTACGACAGAACATGGGGCTGTAGATCCTCTGTTCGATATCCTCGAGCTTCGTAAGAAGTATCAAAAAGTGGGCCTCTCTTTCTATGTCCACGTTGATGCAGCTTGGGTATGTCTTAGTTCTCCTCGCAATTTTGCCAACGCTCACATCCCATTCGGTATCGCAGGGTGGCTACTTCTGCTCGATGTTGGTGAGAACCTTATCCGCGCGGAGGTTCATGCTTAAAATTACTGATTCTTTTACTGGATAGCCCCGACCACGTATCATTCTCCCCCTTCCTATCGCTTTCCCACAAGCGCCGGATCAGGATGATTTTGTCCCGATGCAACCACTCACCGATTACACCATTAGACAAATAATCGCTATTCAGAACGCTGACTCCATCACCAATGATCCTCACAAGGCCGGTTTTGCGCCTTATCCTGCTGGTAGCTTGTGTTATAGGGACGAACGTCTGCGCTTTATGGTCACCATGACGGCAGCGTACATCAACACAACCGCCGATACTGACAGCGTTGGGACTTATGGGGTGGAGGGAAGGTTGGTCTGCTGTACCTTGTTGGTGGATTTTTGTTCACCATGCATACAGTAAACCAGGCGCTGCGGCTACTGCTGTGTGGCTCGCGCACCATGCCATTGGTCTTCACCACCGAGGCTATGGGTCTCTTCTCGGAGAAGCTATGTTCACGTCTGTGAAGGTATATCCGCTTTCTGTGGTAGGACGTGATCATTTTTGACATACCATTGTTAGTTATATTGTAACTGGGCGACGATGACACTCGATGAGCCGAACCTGATCGTCAAGACTTTGGTCATGCTCCCCTCTGAGCAGAAAGGCCTCCCTCCATGCGAAGTTGAGAAGGAGGAAAGGTATATACTCGACAACATCGTTAACAAGCCAAACAGCGAGATCTTCGAAAACCCGGAAACCATGCGGAAGATCTCGGAATTAGGGCCCGACCTCATCGTCGATGTCTTTGCGTGCAATTTCCATATAGGCGGGAAGGTCAACGAGGATGTCACGGAGGCCAGTTTCTTGAACCGTCGTCTGTTCGAGAGATTCTCCGTCACCAAGCGCACAGATGATCCTCACACACGTGAGCTTATCGTTGGGTCGTCGATTCTGGAGCAGAAGACGTACGGCGTGGCTTTGGACAAGTTCAAGGAACGCCTTGGATTAAAGGGTGATGGAGATCTTTATATCATGACCCTGGTAGCCATGTCGCCCTTCCCCACTGCACACAATTTGGTGAAGAGCCTCGCCGACACTTTCAAACAAGCAGCGCTTGATGAGATCCAGGTCCGTTTGCATATAGTTGTCCTTTCGCTATGGCCAATATGCAGTGTTTCAGGAATGTTACGCTCGTATTATACCTGTCCCCGCCCAACACTCGTTTGTCATGCAAGGAACTGACAAGCTCTATCTTGTGTACATGTCGGGATTCAACATCGGAAGCTACCGCCAGCAAGTGATTTTGACAGCTCAACTCCCCGACGACGTCATGACGTTGTATATTGAAGCACTCAAAGTCGATCCGGCGGCGCTGTTTACTTTGACCACAGACACGGCTCTGCTTTCGGACATCCTGTCCAATGGGTCCTGCATGGTGTCGGTGTACACGGGCCTTAAGTGCGTTGACCTTTATGCTATCCAAATGCATTTGGTGTGACTCTTTGCTATCTCAGTACACTGGTTCCCGGGTGCTTGGTTGCCAGAGCCGAACTCACAAATATTGAGGTCGTCATTAACCGGTCCATCGCCCCAAGTTCGCTTGATAGGACCTATCCAGAGCTCATGCCGTTCTACCTCTATGGTACGGAAGAGCAGAAGCACGTTGACCATATGCTGCTCTGTGCTCCTAATGCCCAGCTCTCCGCTAGTGTCACGCTGAGCCTAGAGAAGACTCTTCCGAAGGAGGCTGGCCTGTTGAGTGGCTTGATAGCCGTGGCCGATACGACACGCGAGCTTGCGATGCAGCCGTTCAATGCAGATCACCAGCCGACGTTCTTCGCTGCCGGTCACACCTTCCCATGTACCATCTACAGGGACCCTCGCCCTGTCGATGCCTCGGGCCCCGGACTTTTAACCGGCCTCGGTGACCCGCTGGCAACAGGAAGCATGACACTGGGGCGCAGCATATACGCAGACTGGACTCTGCTGAACCAGGAGCGTGGCCCTGCTTTGCATTCGGAGCATCCGCATTCAAAGCATCCAACGGTCGGCGCTCCTGAGCTGCCAGCCATCTTTGAGCGCATTGGTATCCCCGCTACAGGCGCCAAGTACAGCATCACTCCGACCGACATTGCCGCTGTCCTCAATCAGCTTGTCCCGTCCCACCCGGCAGACGCATACGGACGTAAGATGTCCATTCGAAAGGGATGGAACGACGAGTTCCAGGAAGAGCTGGCAAAGAGAGGGTTGGATGAGCTTTGATATTCCGGACTCATGGTATGAGCACAAAATCAGCGCGTGTACGTGTAAGATACAAACACCTTGTGTAGGAAATAAACCAAATTCGTTTCAATAATTTCTACATGCGTAAGTCGGTTTGGATGTATTAACAGTGATTGCGGACTTGCGACCCGATGTACATTATTTCGGTCAAACTTGAACAAGGTCACATTCGAGTATTATATGAGATTCAGCATCATGTGTCGATCATGAGGATGATTGTCTCAACGGACTGCTTCTCGATTTATATATGCTTTGGGATGAGCATTGGTATCTCTTCCCCGAGTCGAAATTCAGCTGTTTCTGGTATTTGTGCGGAAATTTATAGGCCGGACGCGCCGGAAACACGTGTACCGGGTTGAGCGGTCTGCGACTCGACTGCTTATATCTTTTGACTGTCCAGCGCAGCTTCTAGTCTTGGTCAAATCCACGTTGTTTATGCTCTGACCGCAATGACGACTTTGCAGTTCTCGTGGGCAGATGGCCTGCGAGCAGCACTCTCGTCATGTCTGTACTGCTTCCCATCCAGCGACCGCGACGATCATCCGCACGAGCCACTTCCGCGAGCGCGCCCTGACGAGCTCGAGGGCTTGTTGGCTGACTCGGACTCGGGGGATGCTGAGACCCTCTCTTTACATTCAAATCTCGGCGACGAACGACGGCGGAAGAAACGGAAACGTACTCCCAAAGGCATCAGGGTCTTCGGATACGACTTGTTTGGCCGGCAGCCGATCCACCTTCCCGAGTCCGACGACGAAGGTGGGGGGCACAGTCGCTCAGGTACGCGTGCGCGGACCATCTCGTCTTCGTCCACGCTCGACTCGGATGCCGCGCCTCTCGATGCGTCTGCCCTGGACGAGGCATCCGTCGCGCGCCTGGCTGCCGCCACCGCAGCTGCGGAAGAAGAGCAGAGGAAGGCGAAAGAGGAGCGTCGACGGCTGAGAAGGGAAAGGAAGGAGCTTAAGCGCATGGCACTGGCCATGGCGATGGGTCTGCAGCCGGGCCAGGAGCAGGGCTTTGAAGGTTTCCCAGTGAGTACACGACACGCAGTCCCTCAGGCGATCTGTAGCTCAACCACCCCTCAGGGAAGTGGGCAGCACGCGTCACACGGACACCATGCGAGTATCGGCTCAATCTCGACGACCAGCTCGCCATTTTCAGAGGATTTTGGGACGTTTACGCAGGGCCAGCCACTCATCCTTGAGGATGATGCAGAGGCGGATGGTGCGGATTTTGGCGGCGAGTCGTATGCCCATCACACGCCTCACGGTGCATCATCTGGCGGTTCAGACTCGCGCTCGCGCACGTCTGGATCAAACTCCAACGCGGATCCGTCACAGTACAACCACCACTATCTTTCACAACATCAGCCACCCCCCATTTCCCCACTTCCCACTAACCCGGAGGCCCCAAGGCAGAAAAAACGACGGTCAACTCTTATAAAATCTGTGTCGTCCAAGCAGTACGAAACGCTATCGGCGACGTCGCAATCTACGTCGCTCTCATCGCCCCCGGCAAATCAGACGGAATTCGCACCCCACGAGGAGAGCGCGTTCGAAGGCTTCCCGGGAGGCACGCTGGATCTCGCGCTCTCGCATGCGCATGCGCAAGAGGCGAAAGTCCCAGAGGACGGGTTCCCCAGCGTAGGCCTCCGCGGAGTGCAGCGCACAAAGAGTGATATGGGAGTATTCCTGGCGAGAAGGGGTGATGAATGATTGCCTGGACTCAGCTTGGATACAGTGCCGCCGAAGTGGCTGCACTTTATAGAAATCTCGCTCAGGAGCGGCGGATTTGGATTTATTTTTCATCTATACCTACATGGATGTACCTGTACGGATCTCCTAGTATACCTCTGCAGTCTACTACTTCCAAATACATTCGCCTCTGCTTAACCTCTGCACGAAGTGAATTCATCCTAGCGTGACATCTGGCGTGTCACGCCGCTGTAGTCACAGAAAGCGTGATTCTGCGGGCACGGACTCCTCGGTCCTGGCAGTGGGCTTGACCACCTCCGCCGCTGCGTCCATCATGGCGGAACGTGTCAACTCGAATATGCTCTTTGCGAACTTCAACCAGGACTTTACGTGAGCCAGCCCTGCACCCTTCCATGCTCTTGCTCATAGTCGTAGGTGTATATCCGTCGGCACGCGGAAAGGCTACAGCATCACGAACTGTGACCCGTTCGGAAGGGTGTATACCCAGAGTACGTCCCTTCTTCTCATCAGGCACTGCGTGGTCAACTCCTGGTCCGAACTGTAGGTGATGGCGCGCGGGGGATCGTGGAGATGCTGTTCTGCACATCGCTCATTGCGCTAGTGGGTGCTGCAGACCAACCACAGTCCAGTCCCCGGAAGCTCCAGATTGTGAACACAAAGGTATGTGTGCCCCCCACTGTGTATCCTTACCGATTGTCCAACTCTGCTTTATTTACACGCATGTCCGCATATGCAGAGACAGTCTATGATCTGCGAGCTCCTCTTTCCTTCTTCTATCCTTGCTGTCAAGTTGAATCGTAAGACACTGGTCATTGTGCTCGAGGTTGAGATCTACATCTACGACATCTCGAATATGCGACTCATGCACGTAATAGAGACGACCCCGAACCCTGACGGTACGTTCACATACACCAGGGCGACAAATGACTCATCTCTCCGCTGGAACCTGTAGCTATCGTCGCCCTCTCACCATCCGCCGAAAACTCCTATCTCGCCTATCCATCTCCTGTCCCCTCGCCAACATCTCCCCTGACCCAGCCCTCCGCACAGCCTTCCACCCCATCGACGCCCGCTCAACAGACTGGAGATGTGCTCATATTCTCGACTCGCTCCCTGACCGTTGCGAATGTCATTCAGGCGCATAAATCGCCCATCTCTTTTCTCTCGATCAACTCGACCGGGACCCTGCTCGCGACTGCATCCGACAAGGGCACTGTCATCCGCGTGTGGAGCATTCCTGGTGCGGAAAAGCTTTACCAGTTTCGCAGAGGCACTCGCGAGGCGCGAATACACTCGATCAACTTCAATCTCGTCTCGACGCTACTCGCAGTTAGTTCTGCCCATGATACGGTGCATATTTTCAAGCTTGGCCAACAGAAGTCGGCAGGGTCAGGGTCGAGTGGGAGGACTCCGTCCAGCCCTTCGGAGTCAGTGGACAGCCGGGAGGGCACGCACAACCTGGATGGAGGGTATGATGCATACGTGGACAAGAAGCGGAACGGAAGCGTATCGTGAGCGTTCTGACATATTGGGTTATGTTCAATCGGGGCGCTGATACACGTTCAAATGCAGTTCGAGTTTACGACGAAAATCGATGCACTTGACGAAGAACATTACATCCTCTGTCGGGGGATACTTACCAAATACACTGACGGAGATGTGGGAGCCGTCGCGAGACTTTGCGTTCCTTAGGCTCCCAACAAGTGGTGCGCGATGTATCGTCGCCCTGAGCGGGTAAGTCTAACGCTTCTGTTATTTCAGTCAAGTGAACCCCTTTCTTGATCAGGACTATGCCCCAAGTGATGGTGATCTCATCAGAAGGATATTTCTATTCGTACAACATTGATCTGGAAAACGGCGGCGAATGTTCACTTATGAAACAATATAAGTAAGTTGTCGTCCTTACGTGGTCGAAGTTTCGCTGAATGCTGGTTCTCCAGTCTGCTCGATTCGACTGACGAATCGACAGACTATAGTTGAGCTTCTGTGGCTTATACCGTATTAGTCGACCGCTTGGTCCTGCATACATGATACAATGGCTCAGAAACTGCCTGTATCACGCGCCGTGGCGGTTGTCCTTAGCTGGATATTGGCGATGGGATATACTGAGCCTCACATGGATTCTGGGAGGTGAACTGGTGTGGAAGTACACTTGCAGGTAGATTATGCTTCAGACGAGTGAGCTCCGGCCTGTGTCCGTCTGTCGTTTGTATTTGAGTCTTTCGCATGGGTTTGGCTTACTGTACATAACCATTTTCCTCCTTTCTAGTTGGGCATATACTCATTAGCTGAGATATGCTATGCGACCATTTTGGATGGATGGGTTTTGATCCTATGTCTCTGAGATGAATTTTTACGTGGCTCAAATGATGAGGCCGAGTCTGGCGATCCCTAGTCCCACGTGGTTGTGGCATGTCGATCTCGAGTCGTTCGACTTGCGGTGAACGGTCTAATCTAAGTTCATCTTGAGCATCTTGAATTCGCGTTCGACGGTGTTGTCTGCGGTATTAGAGGACGGTACGTTTCCTAGGCTTTGTGAGCATTTTTACTTGTCGACCTCTTTTGATTCAGTGTGCGGTCCTCGTAGACTCGCAGCTTTCGCTGTACCCATAACATCCACGAACTATCCTCGCTGTGCCCGTTAGTGACCTATCCTCGAATGTTTACACTGTGGAGTCCTGATATTTCTAATAAGTCTACCAGACTTGGACTGAGTGGACAGCCTGCACTCATCTGTACGGCTGGTTTTCCAAAGTACTATCGCCTGCTCTGGCGATTTGCTCCTGATTTCGGCTAATCTCCTACTTTCAAGGCATGGACGCGCACGACTTGGAACTTGAGGGAGCTGACGATGCCACCCTTGCTATTCATCGACGCTTAGTCGAACAGAACCACGAATCGCAAGAGACCCGCAAGGAGATCCTTGCTGTTTACCGGGATACGTGGACTGAATTTTATCAATGGGAGCCGGCCTGGTGTGATTCTCGCCTCAAGGAGCTTGCGCCTGCCTACCCTCGTTTCACAGCGCCCATTATCCTGCCACGAGCGGAGGAGTCAGATGATATGATCGCTGATGACGACCCTCTCTCCTTCTCCGTCACTGATTATGATGGCAAGGATGAGATGACACTCACTTGTACTGAAGAGTGCATTCCTGCTTCGCGAATCGTACCGCATCCTAAATATGAGGCTTGTACTCCATCCATGCGGGCTATCAAGGCTGACAAAAGCTTGGGCAATATAGCAACATTCATACCATATGCTGATGAGGGTTTTGACCAGAGGGGTTACCTTGCACAGTTCAGGGAGACTGCCTGGCAAAACAGGTGGACTGATAATGATTGTAAGACATGATGTTTTGCAGTTTGCAAATATGTGTTGATATATAGTGCTATTGCAGCTCACTTAATCATGCTTGAAGCTGTGAAGCTGCTTGTATCAGAGCATTCATATACTTATGAGAAGATTGATAGCTTGAGGGAAAAGATCTTCTTGCCAGTCAAAAGTCATAATGGGCTTCTCTGGAAAATGAAGCAGCGGTATGCTCCTTATTGTCAAGTTTCTTACCATGACATTTCTATTGATAATTTGTATGTAAAGTGATTTACTCCAGTGGAAAACAGATGCAGATGTTCTGCCTCCACCACCACCTGTTGAAACAAACTTTCTGTTTGATGTGAATGAGGCTGTTGATGTTTTCTGCCCTAGCATGAATTGCATTGAAATTCATTGCATGACTCACAGTAAGCTTTTCAAACTTCAACATTTGAAAGGTGCAGAAACAACTGATAAATGGATGTAGAAGAGCCAAGTCCACCCTTATTTCAGAGAGCACCAGAGATTAGCAATCAAGACCTCAGACAAAGAGTCCAGGCTCCCTGTGGACCTGAGTGCTTTATATTGCATGATGTGGTATGTATTCGAGGTAGATTCAAGTGCACTATTTATCTGAGTACTTGCAGGATGATGATGACAACAGTTCTCAAAGAGAAGAAGCAATTGAGAACCTTCTATATATGTTTCCAGATGAGATGCCTTGTGTATTAGCACAGATTTGTAGAGTTTCATGCTATAAGGTTTGTCTTAATCTGGTGCTGCATTATTATCTATAATTTTTACTTTTGCTATTCAAGGTGTATGTAGCAAGACAAGATGTGGGTCCTGGTGAGCAATTAGCAGAAAGAGCTCAACCTTGGAAACCACAGTTATTTTGTAGGTCATGTTGAAAATTTACTCATTCTGATATTTGACTTTTTGTAGTGGATGATGGAAGGGCAGATAAATGTACTCTGTAAGTTTAAAAATGTAATATCTGAGGATTATTTACTTAGGTAATTCTAGATCTGATTTTTGCAGCCATCCTGGACCATGCAATAAGCAAGCAGATTGCTTATGTGCTGAATTTTGGCTGCATTGCAGACCAGGTTGTAGATGTGATGATAAATGTATGTAATGAGGTTTTGGGATCCACTACTAGTACAAACTCAACTTGAAAATTTAGGTGCTTTACGATCAAGAGGCTGTAGACACCCATACAATAGATGTGGTGTGAAGACCAATTGTGGTTGTAGAAAAAAAGGCAGGGAGTGTACTCCAGGAGTTTGTGTCCTGAAGCATGAAAAGTATGCAAATTTGCATTATCAGATCATATTTATTTACAGTTTCAATGTTTAGAAAAGGTATATTGACATTATACATTCAAAGCTGTGTAAATTCAAGCTACTACAGGCAATGCAATAGACAATGAGAAAACCTTGCATAAACATAAGTGTCATAACATTGTATCACAAATTGGGCTGTATCCTGTGAGTATACATATCTAAATAAAATCTGCACTTTCTCATTTTCAAATAGCTCTTGGAAGTAAAATCTGGAATTCATGGACTAGGTACATTTGCCTGCTCATATCTAGCAGAAAATACTGCCATTGGAGGTGATTTTTACTTATGTTCTTGTTAGGAATGATGTGGCTCACCTAATTTCAGAATACATTGCAGAGAATATTGAGAAGATTTATGTGACTGAGGATGCTGCCAGGTACACTAATTTTCATCTTTGTATAATATACTCAGCTTATTTCAACAGACATCGCAAGCTGAATTATACCTTTGACCTGAACATGAAGCAGATTCTAGATGCTGCTACTGTCGGCAATGAAACACGATATATCAATCATGCAACTGGAAGTAAGGCCAATGTATATGCAAGGGGTATGTAACTGCTAGTCTTTATAAATTACCTGCTAACACATTATACCCAGCACTGTATGTCAATGGTGAACATAGGATAATTTTTTATACTGGTGAGATCTCATTTCTCAATATAAGCAGCACTAGATCTGACAATATTCCAGCAAAAAAGGTGAAGAGAGGCCAGGAGTTGTTCTTTGATTATGGAAAGAAGTTCTGGGGTAATACTGCAACCACTCAATCAGATGCTGAAGCAGAATCAGATTAGCGCACATTATCTTACTCATGCTTTCCTGTCTATACATAAGCCACAATCATGCATTGTACAGTGAGACAACTCAAAATCATCCATGTAGTTTTACAACATGTATTCATCATTACAATCACCTGCTCCAGCCAGCTTGGATCAGCAGATTATTGGTTGCCTGCTCAGCTGGAGGCAATACAGCACTATTGGTCTCCCTAATCAAAGTATAAGTATCTAATCGATGAGGAGGGTATTGAACTCACAGGTAAAACATCTTGATGAGTGATTCCACCTCATCCGCAGACATCTTGATGTCTGACATGGATCATGAGACTCATATTCGTATACAGTGATATGCATGCTTACATTTCTTTGGATCTGTTCACGACGCAAGATCAGCACTCTCCCGAGTTTAGATATATAGTCGCTTACTCTTGCTAAAGTCTTTACCAAGGTTCCGCTGGATAAATCGCTGCAGAGACGGTACAACAAGCTTCACAGCCTCTTCTGAGACCGTGTTTCTCCCCTCATCGTCCTCGTGGAGCACCCGAGCTAGTTGGTGCCTCTCAGTCACCTCGTCAAAGAGGTCAAAGAAGCGCGTAAACTTCTCCTTGGTCGCGCTCTTGCTCTTGTCTTTGTCGTCTGCTAGAGTCTGAAGCAGCGGCGAGAAGTTCGAGTCAAAATATGCCGCCTTCGCGGTGCGGAAGTTCGACTGCAGCATGTCTTGTGCGGGCTTCGACAACAACGCAGGTATCTCGGGCGATTTCGGCCGCAGGAGCAGATGCGAGAGGAGGTAGGATACGTTGTTGAGGAGAAAGATCGAGCCAAACGCTGGCCGCCTGTTTGATCGTGACATCGTCTGCAGTGTGCCGAGAATCATGCTGATCACGTCGTCTGTTCCCTAAGTAAGCAGGAGACCGTAAGCCACCGCGCGCAACTCACAGACGAAGTGTTCGAGGATGCGCTGATTGTCAGTCTCAGTCGATCGCCCGGATTTGCCTACTTGCGCGCCTTCGCCCATCTTCCAATTTCCATCGCCGAGGGTCTGCAGCACTGCTATCACAGCTTCGCGTATCTCTGGCAGCCGCTCCAAATACTCGACAGTCTATTGATATGCGAGCAATGATTGACGGTCACTCGTAGCCAGTCAAAGAACTTACTGTTTGCGTGACATCCATGACACCGGTGCTCAACTCGCCACGGTTACTCGACGCGGCAATCTTGATGTCCGCGAGAAACTCCGGAAAGCTCCTTTGGCACGTTGCGCGAATGCCCTGTAAGCCCTCTTTCAGTTCGTTCTCATTGCGATTGCCCGGGCGGCACATGACTTCGTCCCATTGGGTCTGGTGGGACGTTAAGCATGAAAATAGCGACAGCGCTAGGAGGGTATATTTGTGCAGTGAGCGTTTGACTTGCGTACTGAGAGATGACAAAGTTGACGAGAAGAGAGACACGAGAGGGGTAATAAGGGTATTGTAGGTAGACGCAATGTTCGCAGCGGACGGCAACGGAACGAGTACTGCGAGGAGGCCGTATTCTTCCTAGATATTTTTATGAGGATTTCGCCTGGCAGTAAATACAGAAACGCACCTCCGCTACATTCAGGATGTTTTCGAGGAATGTACCGAACTCTCGTCCGGCAGAGACACCATCGATGGTCCCTGCGCGCTCGGCGACCCGCTTGCCATAGATTTCCAGACATTTCCGCAACCAGGACCCACGCATGTCACCGTAGCCCTTCTGGGCTTCCTTCAGCGCAGCTTGGATAGCCGGCGCAGCGGGATGTGATGGATGTGTGGGCGGAAGAGGCAAGGTACGTAGAAATTCGACAAGGGGACGTAGTGCGTCGAGTGTGGCAGAGGGGAAGGGCATCGGCTCAAAGTCAGGGCCATTGATGGGCGAGCCAGAGGACGCTTCTGCGACCTGCTTTGTATATAGTTGAATCAGCTTCTTCGCCCCTGTCTCGATGATTCGTGCCTATCGTATTTGTGTTCAGAGGCACTTCGACTAAACTAGAATATATGCTTACTGTATCACGAACGCTGCCATCTAGGTTGCCGAACGCGATCGTCGCATTCATCCGCTGTAGAACCTCCATGTACTCCTCAAGCTGTCCTGGCTGTGGGCTGTAGAACCGACTTGTGACAACGAGTGAGTATGGGAATGAGAATGCACTTACCCTCGCAAGATGAGAGCCTCTTCTGCAGCAATGCCCTCCTGATAGCTGGCAATTTCGTCGATCTTCATCAGCGCACTCTCGATATCTACCCATAACTTCAGAGGTGGACACGCTCGATGCAGCCCAGACTTACTCCTTGCCCGCCGCGTTAGTTGCTGCGTGGAGGTATAGAGCGGGAGGATGGATTTTTCAAGTTTGACCAGCCGGGCGTCGAAGCTAGAAAGAATTGCTGCGAGGGTGTGCTACAAGAGGCAGCGGAGAAAGGAAGGGGTGCGTACTGGTCATGCGTTGAGATATTTGACGGGTCTTGTTGAGATTCTGCTCGAGCTGAAACATCGTCAAGTGCGTGAATGCGCTACTACGATGTGTGCGCCATACCAGTTCAATTTCGGCCGTCTCATCATCCATGATGCCTCCCGACGACCACTACGTTCCCAAATGGTTATTGATTTGCGTGCGCGGCTTCCTGTCCAACTCTAAAATGGTTTGACCTAGGATAGCACGGTTTGTGGGCTGCTTCAGCTGAATCAACGCTCCAGTGGTTCAGCAATTCCGCACTAAATTCGGTTGGAACCAGTATCCACTTGCATTCACTGGCTTGACTGGCGCAAATGTTGACGATGGCACGACGGACTTCGAAAGTCTTCACAATGCAGCAAGATATATAGATGCAGAAGCAGGAACACGAGAGTAGTGGTATAGAGAATGATGGCGGTATTAGGCGCCCGCAGTCGCTACCAAAGCCCGCATACATTCTGCTATTTGGTACTCAATTTCGGCGGCATTCACCGCGTATATGACGACCATCTCAGCGCTCGGTGCTACTGAATTGTCACAAAATTTCCGGGTAATTGGACGATATACAGAACCCCCACCGAGTGTATGAGCTCGATAAAATACGGGGTTCAATCTAGTATAAGGAGAAGTACACAAGCTTACAGCCCCTGGTCGTGTAGAAGTTACTGTCCGGTGTCCGCAAGTCTTATGACTCCTCAGCTGGGACGTCCCCTCCGTCTCCGGGACGCTTGTCGTTTCCAGAAGTTTGGTGCTGTTCGCCAGGACGTCAATCGACGATGGCGGCACAAACGACGACACAGGGATGCTAATACCAACCTGGCGCAGCTTTGCTAAATGGATCTTGAGCGTCTCCGCGTAGTTTTCGAAGCCGAGCGTGACCATGGCGTAGAGAATGTCCTCGCCGCCGATCGTCTTGCGCTTTTCGAGCTGGCATTTTTCCGCCGCCTCGGACGTGATGAAGCTGATGAACTCGGAGACGCACTCTTGCACACACTCCTTTGCCTCCCGGGAGATCTTTGCTGTGCCCGGCACAGCGGACTTCATGATACGCGAGACGTTCGCAATCTACGGGTCGCGTGAAGTGCGCACTCCGTGCAATGAATACATGACACGCACCGGAAGGAAACGATCCTGCTCGCGGTACTCTCCAACCTCGTTATCAGTGATGGGCGCAGGCTCTGGGGCCTCCGTTGGCGCAGGGACTACACCGGAGCCGTCATCTTGAGGGGCAATACTCAATGGGAATTCAGACATATATCGCCGGTCTAAATGCTGAAAACAGCCTTTCCCAAGAGTGGGTTTTTAGAATGGTATGGCGCTGCGGTTGGCCAGAGCTGAAAAGCGGAAGACGATAGGTGCGAGGGCGATGGTGTGGAGAGAACTGCTGAACCCTGAGAGCAACGTTGGGCCCGCTTGCCGACCGGGATTGGGAGAGCACGTGCCCGTGTTTCGATCGTCCTGCGGCAATCGCGAGCAAATCGCGAGGCTCGGATCTGCATAAATCTTGGCCACCTACTTGGCTGAGAAACTTCCGTGAGCTTACTATCCGCGGTGCAAGACAGTCATTCCTCTGTTCCTATCTTAAAACATAACCCACAGAACCACCGTATGTTTCATCTATCTACTCCCAAAGTAAACGAACAGTGGTATTGCGCATACACTCATGTCTCTGATATCCTTCCAAACAACTTTAGTATAACACCGGGACCCGGAAATATTCTCTTGCATATTTCCCAGAATTTTTGATATAATCTTAAGCCTTGACGCGCCTGACTTCGTAACGTACCTTGTCCCCGTCTCTGAGCAAGACAATGACCTTGCCCGACCCCTCCTCCCAATGGTCGAGCCTCCTGAGTTTCGGGCACTTCCACGCGAGCATCGACGCGACCTCGTCGTTCTTGCGTACCCGGCTGCGATCGGAAATACTGAGCGGGACTGCTGCCGTCGACGTCGAGGCGACCTCGTAGAAGAAGCGGGCACCGTGGAACGTCGCGAGATTGGACATGTTCGCGAGCAGCGCAGCCCACTCGACCTGTGCGCCGAGCGGCATTCAATACACAGGCAGACGAGGCGAGCGTGCGGACGTACGAAATTGGTGGTGATCAGCGGCGCGGGCTTGCTCGTGTGAGCCTGCAGCACCGCATTCGTCACTCCCGAGCCTGCACGCTTGCCGATGTCGAGCCACGCCAGCTGCGGCACGCATTCGACAAGACGCTTGATGTCGTCCATCTCGTTCCAGCCCGCCAGCTCGAGACGCTTGAGGCTCGCGCCAAAGATGCGTAGGTTGGCGAAGAACACCTGGTCCCATGTCGAACCGCTCAGACGGACGCCCTTGATTGTCTCCAGTGGGCGGCCGCCAGGGGCATCACAGGGGCATTCCAACACTGCATTTGCAATTTCCTTGCTAGCCCGGAGCTCACGCAACCGCGGCAGCGAGTTCGGTGGGAGCATGAAAGGCCGACGGGGCGCCGCTCCCCCTGGGGCTCCTGCACCGAATGAAATATCAAGGTGAAGTGTCTCCAGCTGTGAATGAGCGAAGAGGAAGGTCGCGGTTGCATCAAAACCAGCATGCGGAGAACACCAGAGATTGGAGAGTGACAAGGAGCGCAAATGCGGCCAACGCCCGCAAAGCAAGAAATCGTCCATTACGGGGTTGAAAAAGCCTGGATTCCTGCGGGGGGTATAACCGATGTCCAAAGACTGAATGATATAAGCAAACGGTCTTCGCACAAGGGCTCCAGGCTGCATACCTCTAGAATTGGACAATTGGTGAGCATGGAGGATATCCTTGACATGTCAGGGTTTTTTGATGCGCCGTACGCGTGCTTGGTGGACTGAAGGCTGATCATCTTCAGCGCGGGCATCTGTTGTGCGATCAATTGCAAGTCTGGTAGCTCTGCTGTGAAAGACTCACAATGAGCTGACGCTTGCGCCCACTGTCGGGTCCAGCAAGGGCGACGGGGGTGAATATCAAGTTGTCGTTGATGCCAACCTGTTTCAGAGTCTGGCACCTCAAGAGGATCGGCCATATATTATCTATGGATATAGGGGAATGGTTGCACGACCAGACGAATGAATGCAGGGCGGACATGCGCGACAGGGCAGAGACCAGGTAGCGCTCCTGCTTGGTATGCATCGCGAGCTCGTCATCCGTCGACTCCAAGTCTGTTTCAGAAACGAGGATGTCGGACGGGACCGACAGGGCCTCGGTGGACCTCTCGTCGAGGATCTCGAGGCGGCGGACATTGCGCGCGAGGGCGCGGTGGACGATAAGGTGATTCCAGACGCTGAGGGAGCTCACTTTGCAGCGAACGTCGCGATAATCATAGTGCCTGGGGAATATAATGGTATGCAGGCGGCGACACGAGAGCGCGAGGGCGAGCAGGTCGCGCTTGGAATCAAGATGAAAGACGATCGCGTCGAGGATCTCCGTCGGCTGGCGCTCGAGGGTGCGGCGGGACGGCTCGAGCCCAACGAAGGGCTCGACGATGGTGAGCAGGTGCATGGACAGCCGGTGCTCCTCCGCAGAGAGCCTGAACTGGCAGCCGCCGATGCGCGAGGGCAGCGACGCGAGGAGGGTGCGCAGGACATTGAGCGCGGTGAACGGGTCGGTGCGGTCGTACGAGAGCGGGTTGGTGTCGACCGACGGCGCCTTCCTCCCTCGCCCTTTGTGGGCTGCGGAGGACGCATTTCTGGCCTTGCCTGTCGAAAGACGCGTCGCCATGGCCGTCCTGACTCGACTAGCCCGCGGGGGTGGCCTGCCCAGCACACTTTCCCAGCGCTTGTACGGGCCCGAATGCGAGAGTCACTCTCGCTGCTAGACAGCTTCCCCGCGATCTGCATCGGGATCAACTGCGTGCAATCCAACCAGGCAAAGTTGGAGCCTTGAGACCCATATCATTCATGAGCAGCCGCGGTGGTCTCCTGGCTGTGTCTTCATTCAATTTAATTATGAATAGTTGACGACAACCTGATAAAATTGTGGCGCGATCTAGAGGATAGCCCAAGGTTTTCTGGATCGACCCCCGGAACTGTCGACCAAGTTCGGCACATCTGGGCCCTTGCTCACCTCTCGCACAAACATGCCCCGAGTGGCTAACTTTGACCTCCACGTGGAGCTTGAGTCTGGAATGATGGAAGTGGTCATGAAGACGATGGTACTCGACGCGGGCTGCTTTGGCCCCTTCAACAGCAAAACATGAGAGACGTTTATGGATTCGCCAGAAAAGAATTGGGACAACGCCGAGGGTGCTATTCCGAGGGGGCACTGATATGTCTGACATGTAAAGTGTGCTCAGATACCTGTTCGCGACTCGGCAAGTCTCTCCAGATACGGTATGTACACGAGTCGTTTATGCATACTCGGCTGTTTAATTAAATCTTTTCAACTATACTCGTCTTGCGTACTCCAGTTGCCCATGCTCGCAACGCATATTGAAGTCTACTTCTAAACTAATGGTGCATATTCGACCACCAGTACTATTCTCAGATCACCACGTAAAGCAGCTGACTGTAAGTACTTGTACAGCTTGACTAATTATCAAGCTAAGTATTTTTGCCTGATACATGTACTTACTCACGGAATTATCATGAAGTGAATAAAGTCAATGCGGTCTGTACTAACGCGGCATCCATATCTCCGCCAACCGGCGTTTCAGATGTCCAAGACACTTAACCCCGGCCTTTCATGAAGAGCAACCGTAAACATATGACACTTAGTAATCGGTAGTTGACGAGCGGGGGCAAGCACATCCCCAAACATGTCGCAAATGGGATGCAGTGAGAGCACCGCCGCTGCTCGAGGCTGAATATATGAACGATTGCGTTCCTCTCAGAGTGAGCCTACCATCGCGCGTTTCTATCCATCTGCGTGCAACCCCAACCTCAAGTAAACCGCTTGTTCTGATTTCCTATGGAGAGCACGACAGTAATTTCTGCAGCACCTGGGGATGCTATGGACCGCATAAAGCACGTAGAGCGACAATATCAAGCCTTTCCAGGTTCACAGTACGTGCTCCCATCAGACGCTCAAGAGGCGGAAAGGTAAGCACGCTCGCCCGCGCCACGGCAGCCCACTCACATCGAGCAGATTGTCTCGCCAGCACCGTCTCTGGCTGAACATCTTCGGGAACCGGCTGATCTTCCCTGACATATCTTTCCGTGGGGATGAGTGCATCCTGGAGTCTGGCACCGCTAACGGTCAGTAGACGATGTTGGAATAGAGACGACAGACGCGTGAATTGACCGCGTCCAGGGACATGGCTGCTCGACGTCATCAGCAGAGACATCGTGCCCCGATCGGTCGCCTTCGAAGGCATCGACATCGAGCCGCGCATCTTTCCCGTCGACAACGCACTCGTCGCCGCTCGCGGGAACGTCCGCTTCTCCGTGAACACGATCACCAAGCTGCCCCTGGAGTGGGAGAACAAGTTCACCCTCATAAACCAGCGCCTCCTGATCGCCGCACTGCGTGCGGAGGAGTGGAAGCTGGCCGTCGGCGAGATGTATAGGGTGCTGGTGCCGGGAGGCTGGGTGCAGCTGGGAGAAGTTGGGCGCTGGGAAGCGGGCCCGGTCACCGCCAAAGCCACTTCCCTCATCCACGCTCTCTTCGCGGCGAAGGGCATGGTCGCTGACTGCGCCGTCCAAATTCCTGACATGCTGCGTGGTGCCGGATTTGCGACGATCCACATCGAAGAGAAGGTCGTCCCAATATCAAGCCGTGTTGGAGAGGAGGCAGGAGAGATGGGGAAAAACCTGATAGATGTTATGAGAGGAATGAAGACACCCATCTTGAACGCCGGCGGGTTCGGTATAGTCAAGTCGGAGGCTGAGATGGACGCTCTGCTCGACGCTGCGATAGAGGAATTGGACAGAATGCCGAGTGCGAATATTCGTTGGAGTGTCTTCTGCGGCCAGAAACCAGTCGTGTAGTATAAGCATGTATAACATTAGAACAAGTCTGCTGCTGAACACTTACCATAAACGCGAGATCCGTGCTCCGGAAATCAAAGGGGTAAGGCACAGATGCTCAACGAGATACACTCGTGTTATGATAGAATGCTCGCGGCCAATAAGCAGATGGACATGACGAACAGCAAGTAATCCAGTCTGCAGTACGTCGACATTGGTTGGGTTCGAAGCTTACTACTTGCGTAAATTTGTTGGAGTTGCAGCCATTGTTACAGAGTAAACCTTTAGGCGATGAGCTCGAGAATGACAGTTTAGCCCTTACCTTCAACAATTGCCGCGCCAACTGGAGCCTGTGACAGTGAGAAGTGAGAAGGCATGAGATGACCGAGCCCCATCTTCTGATCATGAGTCAGATCTTGAGGTGATTGACATGAATCAGGGTCAGATTGAATTCAAGTACGTGGAATATTACTATCACAATTCATTGCTGCAGTGGATGAACTGAGTTCAAATTTTGCTTCAGGGACAGGACTGGTACATTATGCTAGTTCTCGAGGGGAAAAAGGAACGCCCAGAAAACTTGCGCGCTCTCATTCCGACACGGGGAATCGAACCCCGGGCTATCGCGATCACAAATGAGAGGCGATAATGTTAGCCACTACACCATATCGGATATGGATCTGTATTAACACCATGATTTAATGAGGAACATCTACTTTGCTCTTTAAGACTTGACACGACAGACGCTGCGCACATCTGGGATAAGAGTAGGTAATCCTTGTCATATCCACGGTGAAAGCGCAACAAACATATAAGAATTGATTATACTTGGACGGACATCTAACCAAATCCAAGGGTCCCAACCAGAGCCCATACCAATTGAACATAAAATACGTTACATCACAAATGCGTCGTCAATGAGACATTGTCCGAATCGTAAAACTGCGACAAGATATAGACTATATGCGGGGGCCGATGCGAGAGGTCCTGCGGCCGAGACATCATGACTTGCTCTCAGATTCGACGATCTCTTTGTCCATAGAGGTGCGATCTGCTTCAGGGCCTTTCTCCAACGTCTCGTTGCGGACGTCGTCGACGTACACCATCTAGCGAAAGTTTCCGTTAAAAGTCATCGAAGCCAAGCCGCAACAATCAGACTCGCCTTCTCATCATCGTAATTGGTCTCCTTGATGGAGTGGATAACCCAGAACGCAAGCGGGAACGATACCACAAGCAACATCCAGCTAGCAAGCTATGATGGGCACCATTAGTCGATGCTCCTGAATCCCACAAGACACGGGCTCGCTCACAATCTCGTTCAGGAACGGGGTAGCAACGGCGTCCATCCCGTAGCTCCCGGCGGAAGCAGCGCTCTGCATGGCCTTGTAAAGACCAGCGTATCGAGCAAGGATGAACGGGTCGTTCGTCAGCGCACTCATGATCCAGTACGCGAGGGCCTGGTAACACGAGTCGCCAAAGTAATCTATACGCCATCGATTAGCAAGTAGCAGAGCATCTTCCCACAGACCACGTACAGAAGAAGAACAGCGGCGCCTTGCCGCGGTACGATGCATCCTTGTAGTTGATCAATGGAAGCACCTTTGCCTCCGCGCGGTCGAATGTTGTCTGCCACGAGAGCCCACACGCCCAAACGATACTCGTGACGACGACGACAGTGGCAAGTCCGAGGTAGCCACGCGTACGGCGCTTGACCCATTTAACGTCGAGCACGAGGTAACCAATCATGAGCGCGCCGATAATCGCTCCTGCGGCCTCTAGCACAGCGTTTAATGCACGGGTGGTGCCATCAAAGCGCGCGGTGTTCAGAGCACCCTGGTACGCGTAGAAGTAGTTCGAGGCAAAGAACATTGGCATGAGTGCTGTGAATATGTGGTCAGGCTGCGTTCAGGCCGGTGTGCACGATGATCATACCCAAGATGCGCCAGTTCTTGAGTGTCTTCCACATCCCTACGAGTTCTTCATGTGGTTTGGAGGCTGCCTCCAGCTTGACAAGAGTGCCGTCCCCACGGACGATGAGATGTGGTGGGAGGATGAGGACGACGGACGCAACACCAATAAAGATGATGACGAGAAAAGCCTGAAGGAGGAGTTAGTTGACATGGAGACACTGACAATGATGCACCCGCGCACAATGTACGTAGAAGTGGACACCGAACCGAGATCCCCAGTGCGAACGTTGATTGCAAAGGCGATAACGGCACCGATGAAGGAGCCAAACATGAATAGGGCCCAGAACACCGCGAAAGCCTTGCCCTTGTCCTTCTCGAGTGGATAACTCATCATAATTGAACCTTGCGCGGACCAAAGCAGCGCAGCTGTGATACCAAGAATTGCACCAGCCAGAATCAGGAACCAACTGGTGCCTTGAGTCTGATAGCTATCAAAACAAGGGTCAGGGTCAGCGGAGACATGTGCGCATCCACAAGACACTCACCACCAAAGAGCACCGACATAGAGCGCATAGCCAAGAGTGCCGAAGAACAGTGTGAGCCGGGGTCCGATTACTGTGCTTGTGTGAGCCATTGCCACAACGTATACGGTGCGGTATACGCACTGTTGTTGATGGATCCGCTCACTAAGCCCGTAAGCGCAAACATGCCATATAGGACACCGTTGGCGGTGTCGGAGAGCGAGATGTTCTCCAGCCCTCCGGCGCCCAAGTTACTGACTGCATTGAACATACCCACCGTGGCGAAGCTGTACATCATATGAGAAAGGCAAGATAGAGGAATGGGTCCACAGCGACTCACCATGTTATGCCGACGAGCACAACCTGCGTCATTGGCGCGCTGGGAAGTGAACGGCCAGTAAGTGAGTCACACGAGCACATGAGAATATTCATTGCACGTACGTATAGAATGCAGGCCACTTCCATTGAAACATGGTGGATGCTGGTGGATGGGGGGGAAAGGCGGGCTCGCAGCGAGACAGCGGGCTCACGCCCCACAGGGTGCATCCTCGGGTTTATAGCTGGAGCGCGGAGAGCGATAAGCTGAGAGATTTGGCGCGGTGATGGGGCCGAGCTGCTTCTCTGGCGCGTGGACTGGGCAGACCTCCGAGCGAGCTAGGGTGGAAGTAGCAAGTGTCTGATGCCGGCACATTGACAGATGGCGGAGATCCAGGGCGAAGGCATTGCCTCTTTACCGCGATGGGCCCGCTCGCCGCACCAGGCGCGTCCTCATTACAGAAAAGATTTAAATTTGACTGAATCTTGTCTGTTCACATGGACACGCATGTTCTGGGAGTCTTCGCTTTTGCTGTTCACGCGGTCAGAATTATCCGGGGTCGAGCGAGCGTCTTACCTTGACTTGACTACGGATCTGAGAAACTGCCATACCTTGCTTAGTAGCCGAGTGAAAACATAATGAGATGGTCGTACTAATGTTCGGAACATACGAAGACGAGCATTCGAGAAGAAGTTGGACGCGGTGCACCGGCCGCGGTGGCAAATCCATAGCGCCCCGATAAGGTTAATTAGAGCCGAGCACTGGCGTCCAACGCCACCGTTCCAATGTCAGCGGCCACGATGCCCCTCCTGCCACATCCTGCCTGCCCCACACCATGCCTCAGCTGTCGAAACAACTGCCTTGAGCCTGTGGATATATCCTCCAATATTCTCGCTGGTCCATCGATAACAATCTCATGTGTGTCCGCGGCCAATAATTTCCGTGAGATATGACTAGTTGGAGTCTGGTCATTTGATGGAGACTTCCTGACAGCTGATTTCAACGTTCCACATGTGAGTCAAATTCTCTAGGGGACGCGGGCGCCAGGCTGCTACATACCGCACGCCGCACAGGGCACGGCGACTCGATCACGGCCACCCCTGGCAGTGGCAGCAGACGGCACAATCATTCTACTTAAGTATCATTTTAACGGGCTTTTCGGCGTTCACCCAACACACTCCGTGCTCGTAGGTATGTTGTCAAATCCTCTATCATTGTGTCAACTCCGAGCCAACTGGATACTGGTGCCGGTGATCTGGTGCCTGGAGTCCATCTTTCTAGCGTCTGTCCGGAGCTTCTAGAGGTCGAGTCTTATCGCCTGAACGTCGGCTTCGTTTGCTCTCAGATCCAGCTGTCGTTGAAAGGTGTCTGACTGGGGACTGGGCGAATGCTAACCTTTTCAGTTCAGAACATCGATACGCAATCTGTGGCCATTGAGCGTCCAATACGCACCTCTCCAACTCATATCAAGTCCGCGCATGGCTGGGCTAGTCCTCAGTCAATGGCTTCCTGCTATCGTTTGTTCTCGCTGAGTCTGTCAACAGGTGATTGGGACTCACGAACTTTTGATTTACCCGACTATCTCTTGTTTGTTTTTGCCCGAAGCAGATCCGGTGCTGCTAGTAAGTAGAGCAGCATTTCGACATCAGACCATCCTTATCGCCTCCAACATGTTGGTACAATTTACTCACCGAGAGAACCACGGAGTACGTTCGTTGCCCGAGACCACCTTGAGACCACTCGATCAACCCCGCTCAGGAAGGTTGGGTATTCGAGTTGGTGGATTAAGTTCGGGTGACATTGACAGGACGCCACGAGGAATGGCTCATGGGGTCCGCTTTATCTGACGCTTCATGAAAGCTCATATAAGAATGTGTCTACCCACCTGCTTAAAATTTTCTGGTAACAGTGATAGATCAAACTGTATCTCGTCTTGTCAACATCTTGTTGTTGTAAATACCAACCGAGGTGCGCGCCGGATTGATCATCTCCTATCGTTCGGATTTCCTACCAACCCTCCTAGAGCTTGAGCCGTTAAATAAATGGCTGAAATTATGTGGATCGGTGCGGCCAGAGGAGCAGCTTGACAGGGCAGTACTACCGGTCAGATACGATATACGAAGCGCATAAGGGCAGAAGCTCTGCTTCAATGCAGGTGACTTTCAATGAGCATCATTTCTGATGTGTTCAGGTATGGGCTATAGGGGCATGTAGAATGTCCGACCCGTCTGCTAATACGATCTTTACATGGCAATCTACAAATCAATTTTGGTGACTAAGAGCGTAAAATTTATCTGCGTAAATCTTACGAGAGGCGTTCTGCACTCAAAACGCCTTTCTGCGCAGAAACGCGTTTTGTCGTTTCTAACATCACGGTGTTGACTGGTGTGCTTTGGACCAATTGAGTCTCCTCCTGCCAATTATACTGCTAAAATGACATTATGCTTAGCGGTTCATGAACTCGATAGGTAATACAATCAGAAAACACTGGTACTCCTATTCGTGTCGTGTTATAATAGTGACTGGGAATTGAACGGAAATCGAACGGTAGTAGTAAGTACAACGAGTCTCAGGATCAACTCATGCATTATGCCTTATAATGCCATCTATGCAAACGCAAGAGCGGGGATCTCCGGATATCGATCTCAGACACTTAAATATATCTGTCATCGTCATAAATGCTGGCTGCGAAATTAGTCGAGTCCTGAGTCGAGTCAAACAAGATTGATTTATTCTCCTGCCCCCCTCCTTATTGCCAACATTCTGTCTTTACGCTTTGCTCTGAATTTCGTCCGATCGCGCTCTCTTCAGAGGGGATCTGTGCTTTGTTCCCGAGAGTTCAAATCGCAAGTGGAGATGGCGGACTCTGAGCTCGCAGAGGAACTGGAGAAGTTCACGATCTCTCCCTCGATTCCAAAAGAGGACTCCGAGCTTATTGACGACCTGCACAAGCTTTCAAAGAAGAACCCCAAACTAGTGAAGTCAACCGAGTATGCGGCCCCTGCGGATCTCAGCATCAAGGTGCACAGCTGGAAGATGAACGAGTTCAAGTACTATGATGTTCCTTCCCCGTTTCCGACCCTCGCCCGCGGTTTGTTTACACAAGAGTTGGATGCGAGTTGTACAAAACACCGGATCGTCGCAAGAGGATATGACAAATTCTTCAACATTGGCGAAGTTCCGTGGACAACGGTATGTATTTTCGATCGCATCTCATGGGCGCCCGATGACGGTCGGGAGTCGGTGGCGAACTAGACGTATCTTCTGCGGGATGGTTGCACCCTGTCACTCTTTGAGCTTTGCGGCGACCTTCAATGTATCGTTGTTCACGACGCTGCTAGGTTTTGGTCGCGTGAAAAGCTCTTTTAGCGTGACGGGGAAAGCGGTTCCCTGAATGTTATATCCTGAATATGATCCCCTGACCATTGTATCGTGTCATCCATACCGATACTTACACTAATTGCACTTTATCATACTGAAAGTGGGAATCTCTCAAAACACATACGGGTGCACCGTATACCCTTACACTCAAATCGAACGGGTGCATTATATTCATGGCCGCGCTTACTCCTACAAAATTGTTAGTTACATCGAAGCATGCACTAGGTCATTCTAATGCTAGCGGGGACGCAGAGAGCCATGCTCAAGTTGGCGAGAAATGGCTTCGCAAGCACCTCGCAGATGCAGGAAAGACGGAAGAACAGTTTGCTGGGACGCTCTGGGCTAAGAATTGGACTGCTGTAGCTGAGGTACGTATTGACATCACGGTCAATTAATTGAGGACTCTTATTTTCCACAGCTGTGTGATGACTCCTTTGAAGAACATGTCCTGCCTTATGGCCCAGAGAAGACGGGCCTGCACTTACATGGTCTCAATGAGTCCTCGAAGCAATTCAAAACCATGAATCAGGACGTGGTGGATGCATTTGCCCGGGAATGGGGGTTCATCGTCACGCACTCCCTCGTCCTGCAGTCTATTCCCGAGGTCAAGGAGTTCACGGAGGCGGTCGGAAAGTCCGGCGAGTGGAATGGCGAGGCACTCGAGGGCTTTGTGGTGCGCACGCGCGTCATCGAGCCACCGATAGAGGATGGCAAGCCTGTTTCAGCGCCGCCATATCGCGCCGGGTCATCGTTCTTCTTCAAGGTCAAGTTTGATGAACCGTACATGATGTATCGTGACTGGCGCGAGATAACCAAGACGTTGCTGGCGAAGGGAATAAGCAATGCAAACCTGCATAAGAGCAAGCTTCGCCGTCCGGAAACGAAACTATACGTGAACTGGGTCATTGACGAGATTAAGCGTGACAGCTGTCAATTTGAGGGCTATACCAGGGGCAAGGGCATCATCGCGACGCGCCAGCGATTTTTGAAGTGGAGAGAAACTGAAGCCGGGAGCACGGCCGCAATCGAGATGGAAAAGGCGCCTGAAGAGAAGAAGCCCGGAGAGGAAAAGAAATTTGGCAAGACAATCATCGTGCCTATAGCTGTTCCTGGCGTTGGTGCGTCGCGCTCACCCAATGCCACGTTTTGCGTATTCTAACTCGTTTTTCAGGTAAGACATCAATCGCAGTCGCACTAAGTTATTTGTTCGGTTTTGGGCATACGCAAAGCGACGATATCAAGATAAAGAAGGCCGCACCCGTCTTCATCAAGAACGTGATAAACTTGTTGAAGACGCATGACGTAGTCATAGCGGACAAGTAGGTTGTACTTCGTATCTAAATATCCAGTAGCTCAATCTCGGATCCCGATGCTAGGAACAACCATTTGAAACAGCATCGCCAGCAGCTGCGAGACGCAATTCGCGACTATGATCCACCAGTCCGACTCATGGCTTTGAATTGGTCGTTCGACCAACCGCTCTCGACGGTCCATCGTATTTGCGGTGACCGAGTTGTATTCCGCGGAGACAATCACCAGTCCCTGCACGCGAACATGGAGACAAAGGCGCACGAGGATGTCATATGGCAATTCATAAATCGGGCTGATGAACTTGCCGACGATGAGGTGGACGTTTCGGTCGAGATGGACTGGGAGGAATCGCTTGAGGACGCCCTCACACGCACGGTTGATGCCTGTGTGCGCACCCTAGGCGTCCCGAAGCCGGACCAAGAGAAAATGGGTGAGGCACTGGCCGTAGCGCGTGGCTATGCGCCAACAACGAAGAAGCCAACAGCGGAGAAGACCAAGAAGGCGCCGGCCGTGCGTTACTTTGGCCTTCTGGCTGAGGTGGATCTAGTGGATGTAATCGGGCGTAGGCTTGCCGAGGCTGACACTCCTTCGGAGGGAAAGAAATTCTGGGATGTACTACTTAGCAAGAAACGTGTCACCCCACGTCCACACATCACCATTGTCCATTCAAGAAACCTACCCGACCAGAAGCCTTTATGGGAACAGTGTAACGCTCTTCATGCACAGGAATCGTCGCCTCTGTTCCGCTTCCGTCTCGGGCATGTGGTGTGGAACGACCGGATTATGGCTGCCACCGTGCTGGACTTGGCAGTCTCAACCAATGATACAGATCCCGATCAGACAGGAATGGATTTTGTCTTGCAGCTCCCGCACGAGGTGAAAGACAGGATGCACATTACTGTGGGCACGCGCGATAACGACGTCCCCCCTGTAGAAGCCCGTGAGCTCGTGTGGGATTGGAAACAGAAGGAGGGTGCGCTCAAGGGCATAGAATCCGTGGAATTGAAGGACGTATGGGTGAATGGGAGAGTAAGGGGTTTGATCAGCTGAGGACGCGGCCGTGGACGACTACCAAGCTCAAAATTTAGTTCAATATGATTGCTCTAATCGGATATACGGAAAGGCTCTGCAACGCACCGCTCACAAATTCACCACTATTGTATACACAATACATTTCAGGCTGTAGCAAGTATATTTATTTGACTGTGGATCACTACTACCGCCTCGAGGGTCAGATGTCTGCCGGCCCTATGCTTCAGATTTCCTGGTGTACTGACTCAAGCTGGATGTGAGCGCACGACGAAACTAAGAGTCTAGTGCTCAGCAGTAGCCACGACGGAATCGCTAAACGTTGAACGCCTCCCCTCAAAAAAATTTCCCCGCTCTCCTAACTTCTATTTAACCATCGAGTGTATTCCAGGATATAGCCGCACAGTAGATCCAACCCGAGGCAAATTTGGAAGGTTTTTCTTGTTATTTCAGACCCCAGTAACCAAAGATTGTGTTTTTGAGCAATCAGCCTTGGTGGCATGGCAAAGATAGTCGCACAAGAGAATACATAGTAAACGTCGATCGCACGTGGGCGCGTGTCTTAGACCTTGTCCCCATAGCTTGACCCGGGCTTGCATGTCGTAGCGGTATCTAGGCTCTGAAGTTCTTCCTGGTTCACAGACACCAGGACATACTGCTACACTTCCATAAAAATGGCCCACGAGGATGCTCCACCACACAATTCCGCTACTATTCCAGGGGACCGACAGGACGAGTCGGAATACAAGCCTGTCTTTGGACTAAGTACATCGACCACAAATACAGTACCGCGATGGCTTCCAATATCTTTGGTACGTTTAAATGCCCTTGTGAGCACACCCAACTCGGTTTATCCACAAGTGTGAACTATTAGCTGGCGTTGACTACCGCAGCCCTAGCTGTTCCAGCCGTTCTCCTGTGGCGGCAAAGGGCACCCGCACTAGGTAAAGTGTTGACGAATAACAAGCCCCCGCCCCGTCGAACGACTGCTACGGTTATCCTTCCTGCAGCAATTACCCCTGCACAGCGTACTCCCCCACCAAGAAGGAGAACGGCACCGTCAGTCGCAGTCGCTAGTCCCGCTATACCCGCATCATCAGCCACGTCTTCTACTACCGAGACTGCGCCTATGCTCACGACAGACCAATTCAATGGTGCTCTATATTCTGCGAAGGCGTTTGGAATCGCTACGCTAGTTGTCAGTGTCGTAGCGGGTACGGGAGTCTGGGGCGTGAAAGCAGCGCTCGACGTTCAAAATGTAAGTATTATGAACCCCTTCATCTCAAATGCTCATTCTCTCGCTGTGCAGACACAAGAGTTTGCAACACGCATGAGACAGCTAATCCTGACTCGTATGCCTGTTCTTGCTTCTCGGATCCACAGACCACTAGAACCAGACGATGGGCTACCGTCAATCACCGGTCCACATCCCACTCCTGAGGAGTCGCTCCTTCATACGCATGGAACACCCAGGTCGATTGAGTGGTCGTGGCCGGACGCGGAGCAGAGGTTGAGAGATGCATTTGAGAAAGATGGTATTTCGGGCTGGGCTGCGGCTGCAATGCATGAACTAGAGGCGGAAGGGCAAATAGAGAGGCGAAAAAGAAGTCACGTCTGATACATTAGACTAACCTATTTGTCTGTCTCAATCAAATAGTGCGAAGAGACGATCTGCATGTCATATTCATGTGGCGGGCATAGACGGCAATGCAAATAATATGACATAGGGACGCATCCGCATACAGACCGCGCCCCAGCTCGATTTTATCCCATCGTAGCTCGCTCAACTACTCCCGATAGCTCTCGACAATAAACACCCATCATGCCGAAGCCTTTGCAACGCTCTTGCGCACAGTATCCCTCCGGGCCTTCTTCGCGAGCATAACGGCGAAACGCTCGAAGTCGTTAAGTGACCGTCGCTTCTCGATTGCCGCCCGCTTCTGCGCCCAGGAGGACTTGTTCCACCGCTCGACGGTGGCCTCCTTCTCAAGCTGCTTTTGAATTACTCCTGAGCCGGCGCCACGCGGGAGTTTGGTGAGGGCGAGTGGCGTAAGGGATAAATGGCGGTAGGGGAATGATTGGCGGGGGACACCGGTCGTAGGGCCGTCAACGATTGCCTGCGCATCCGGTCGACGGTATTAGCCTAAGACGAAATACACCAGGCAATGCGCCGATGCATACCCGGTTATGATCAATGATTTCTGCAATCACAGCGATGTGGCCCGCATGAGGACCAGATTTGAGAAGGACCACTAAAATTGTCACCGTTCAGACACACACAAGCACCAAACAAACCTCACACTACGCACCTCGGCCAACCTCGACGAAACGCTTGAAGTTTGATTCCGGGGCCTGTGGGATTGGGATGCAATTCAGCACTTACTAGATAGAAATACGGCCGCTAACACAAGCCCGGGTCCCAAAATCCGTGCAGCCTCATCTGCCGCCACCAGTCATCATCCATCCAAATGAGCTGCAATCCATCCTCAAACACCGCGTTTTTATGCATCTCCTTCACAAATGCGGGACTTCCTGGGGCCGTTCAGCGTCCAAGCAACAGATAAGACTCACCGACATGATTTGTGCTTGAGGATATCGCTTGTCGTCGTTCTTCTGGCGGGCGTTGATAGTTCTCTGCAAGCGCCGGTAAATTGCCGAAAAGCTGTATTCACGTGATTCAAGCGCCGTTCCGTATCCTCTCTAGTCGAACTTTTGCGAAGCTCGCTCATACAAACAGCTTTACGCCTTTATATCCCACACTGAAGTTCTGTCTATGATTTACTCATAAGTAATCATAAATTGTCCATACTACTCGCGTCTTTCTCTTGTTCGTTTGGGTCGTCAACATTGTTCTTTACCGTGAGTTCAAGCAATGCTTTCACGTCCTGTGCACTTGCCACGCTGTATGCAGCAGCTGTTGCGGCACCCACTGCCGAGCTCCCTTCGCTAAACACTCCCTCTCCCTTTGCTTGCTCCTTGGCACGCTGCATTAGCTGCTCGACTGCCCAATTCAAGTATCCTGTCTTATTTGTCTCCCATTGACGCTTGCCAGGTTCAGGGACTGCAACTGGTTCTATCGCCGTGTGGGACGCGTCCATAGGTGGAAGTACCGAGACAGAATTATACATGGCTTGAAATTCGTTCGGCATCTCGATTAGTGCCTGTAGCTGAGGTGCACGGAGGAATGACAGCTTTTCAAGGCGCCTTCGCGAGCGGGCGAGTTGAGCAGCAGAGGCCCGCACTGCGCGTGTGTATAGCCGTCGGAGTTTCCGATGCTGGAACGCATTCAGAGGTCAATAGATCACAAAGCAGACCACGGCTACTCACTGCTTCGAGCTTTTTCCTCAGTTCCTTGATCTCGTCTATCAACTCGGCTTCTCTGCCTTCCGGTTGCTCGAGATTGAGTCCCTTCTGGTGCGGGGCGACGACCGGAAGGTCTGCCGGAACCGCGAATATGTTACGCAGCGACCAGGCCTCAAAAAAGTCAAAAGCGATATCGACATGTGATTCTAGGAGAGTTTGGAATGAGTTAAGACCCTTCTCTAGCTCTTCTGTGCTCTTCCAATCGTCGACTGGGTCAGTACGCGCTGCGTCTCTCCGTTCAAGGAACGCCTCCATCGCATCCACCGTCTGTCTCGTGGCATCATTGGCGATATTGATGATATCGTCTAGCAAGAATTGTGGTACAAAGCCAATGAGTTCAGGCAAGAGAACCGAGGGCACGGTGGGCGGGGGTGCGCTCATCGCGGTATTTGGTGGCGACGCGTATAATGCTGAGGACGCGTTTTGTCACAGTACGCGTCACGAGTCATGTCACGGACTCGCTACACCAAGCGCACTCGATATGAGGTAGATACCGCTACCCTTATCAGCCGCTTTGTGATGAGTTTTTCGTGAGCCCTTTCTCCATGACTCGAAAAATATGAATAAATCATCCAAGAATCCAATATGCTATTTGAATGGATACGTCTACTCACGATTTGCAAGTGTGCGGAAACTATCTAGTAAGGTGCGTCTCAAGAAATTTGTGCTATGTACACCTACTCAGCCTTGAACGATGCACAAATCGGCCTGCCAAGAGCAATTCCTCAGGGTATGAAAATTTTGCTGTTGCCGTTATGGGCATATGATCATATGGGTAATGCATGTGCTGGATTAAAGTCCAAAGTTGTCCAAGGGTGAGATGTACGCTCCTCGTTGTTTGCAGCCCTTGGCGTTATAGCGCCTCTCGCTATACATACGGTGCGGCTCATATGGTGCGGTCATGGTTCTGATTGATTTTTTGCGAAGTGCCTGTCTTTCGAACATGCTGATTTGGAAGACATAAAGGCATGCTCTATGAACAGTATAATTTCCTAAGGTACATAGCAAGATGCAAGACATACCAAAAACATTTCTGCGCTTTTTCATGCGGATTGATATTAAGCGGATTCATCTTTACCCACACTGGCACACTGTTTAAGACCTTTGTACAGTGAGTGCAACTCATAATGTTACATCATCGAGGGATACATTCTTCAATGCTAGCGAAGAGCTACTGATACAATAATACGTACTTCGTAACTCTCCTAAGTTGATTGGGACTGTCAGGTCATCGCATTCATACCTCTATCTCTTATCCTGCTCTTCTTCGCCACCTCCTTCTGTGCTTGCACTGCTTGTCCCTCGCGGCGCCACTCTGCACGCTCCCAGTCATCCCACTCTTCACGCGCGTCGACCCAACGCTCCTGAACATCGCGAACATCGCTGCGCGTACCATGAATCGGGCCTGCAGCAGTTGAGAAGAGTGCGTGCATATTTGGACGGCGTGTAGCGGAGCTGTCGGATGGGGACTCAATAGTGCCTGGGGGCTGAGGCGCACTAGGCGGAGGGACGAAAACGCAACCAGTAGCTTTGTCAATGACTCGAGTTAGGTGCAGCATGGACTCTTTATCCTGTGAAAATAGGGGGGGCCTATATACACAGTTAATTCTCCTACTCGGATTGCGGGCTCACCTCTACTGCGAGTGTCTCGAATCCTACAAGGCCAAAATCCTCGATAAGCGAGCAGATGGCCATATTGAGTGCGGCAAAACGGGGCGAAGACGATGAGAGAGAATTTTCGAGGTACGAGAGGTCCTGCACTTCAGTATAGAATTCGAGATTGAAGTCTGGAGAGGTCATGAGCGGGGAGAAATGCGCGAGGAGCTGGAATGCTGACCAAGATCTCCGTATTGTCGTATGAGGTCGATCTTTGAAAGGACATTGATGTGCGGCAGCTCGAGGTGGAGCATGGCGCGGAGCGAGAGCATGAGGACAGAGACATACTTGGACGCATCGGTCACGTAGTGCGCATCACAGAGGTGGACTGCAGCCAGCTGACGGCGACGGCCTTTGTCATCGTCAGCTCACGCACGGAGAGTAGCAAGCGCACGCACCCGAAAGCTGCCTTTCATGAGCTTGTGGATGATGTTTTTCACGCTATCGTGGTTAGTGCTAAGCTCGACCTGGCCTGGGAGGTCGAAGAGAATGTAGGAGTCACGGTCGAGCTCGCTCAGCCGCTCCTCGAGCCAGTCGTAGTTCTCCTCGAGATATTCCATGCAGTAGAGCATCCCGCCGTTGGGTCCGAGTCCGTGCGCAGACATCGCGTCGTCGAGAGTGATGAGGGAGGAGATGTCTATGGCGCATGGGTATGGGATGTTCTCGTTTGCTGGGTCAAGATTGACGATGGAGATAGGGCGATTGAGGGCCGTGAAGAGCTGGTGCTTTCCGTAGCAGTATGTCGACTTTCCGCTCCCCGGGGAGCCACATACCACCTCTCCGAACGGCATATGGACAAGCAGACTTCTATTGCCCGGGACGAATGATGAAGTGGTCAAACAGAATTGAGCATGTAAGCGCCGAGAGTGGGTCCGCGATGAACGTCGACTTCTCCATTTCGGAATCACTCCCTATCTCCTCCTTCCATGAATTTGTTGAAATTGTCGTATTTTTGTGGTGGATAATTAATGAGCTGGCCGTCTAGGAAACATATACTATTTGATGCTCGCATGAATACCTTGGCGACGGGGGCGATTATTCCGTTCGCCCCAAGTTTCTCTGGCGCCGGGAGGCTCCTGTTGCATGCTGCTGGAGTGCTCATCTCTATTAGCCAAAAGGAACAGTTTTACAAGTATACATCCAGCAGATGGCTATACAACGGGGGGCAGCGTGAGCTCCCCTAAGACAGGTTGGTGAGTATAGTATTTGTATGATTGGCATAGAATGTGCCTTGCATTATGCCTAATTCGACATCAAAAGTTTCAAGAAATGGCCTGCAAAGTAACTGATGCTGTCTGCCACATACTTAGAGCTAAAGAAGGTAGATGATAGGGAGTTCATCGGTCTTCTAATGGCAGCTATCACTTAACCCATTGTCGGCCCTTATTTTCCACGACGGTGTAACAAGATCTTCCTTCTGCAATTTGACAACAGCGATGAGGCTGTGTTAAGTTTACCTTACCTGATTACGAAACCTCTTCACTGGTCGACTGTGAGTGAAGTGGCGACTGTACAGTTCGCAAATTGAGAGCCCGTACTCCAGATGTGTTCTCCTGATCATGGAGGGTAGACTCCGTGGTTAATCAGGTATGAGCGAAACACACACTTATGGAAAGAGTGCTTGGCGTGAAAGCCCTCGATCGCTGGGAGAGTATCAAAAGGCGCACGGCCTCGCCCCTCATCACAGACTTGTTTGATATTGAAAGCAACTTCAACTGTGTCCAGTTTTCTCTATTCGGGAGTCTGTACTATTCAAAGAAGACGTGGATCCCACATTACAAGCTCAGCCCCTGTTTGGTCAAGGAATGGAGAAGAGATTCTTAAACGCGCAGCCGAGCAGGATAGGGTTGGTCCCATCGCAGACCGCGTGTCGTGTCGTGGAAAACGCAAGGGGGTGGGATTTAGATTGCGGACCGTGTGTGTCACTTCTATGCCATTGATCTCGTACAGGTTGCCAATGCTACAGATGCCAAGGTCGAATTACAGCGATTTCATGATGGCCTCCGCAGATGACGAGCGGACCTGGATCAAGCTTTTTGCTTCCTCTAGTCAAGTGCAATAATCTCCGCCACAGCAGCGCCGCTTCTTGCACCCTAACCACCACCATCTCTGTTAGACGCCCGCCGCCATGTCGCATTCCCACTCCCGTTCCTACTCTACTGGTGTACCCAATGCCGAAGACAGTACGCCTCAACGCACTGTGGGTCGCCCGCACGCCGCGGGTGGCACCGAAGGCCCCCGTTTTTCTCCATACCCAGCTCCGTCTGGGACCTCTCGCGCAGCGTCGCGCACACATACCCCTGTCCATGAGGATGAGATGATCAGGACATCGATCTTTGACATCTTCACCCGGGACCCCCACGCCGCGGTCTCTGACCAAGGCCTCCCCAATCCTGCCCAGGATCCCAACGCGATGTGGGGGGACGATGAGGGGGATCTGAGCGATCTCACTGGCGACAAGCAGGTGAGTGATTATCCTGGCGCCTATCCGATAAGGCCTAACGCCCTACACCCCCAGAATTCGAATGCAGTATCGTGCGCAGAGACGCCGGTCCCTGTACCGAATACGAGGGAATACTTCCTCACCCAGCAATACACGACCTTTCGTGCACGCGAGGTGGACGAGGAAGACCCGAACTGGAAGTACACAGCGGAGGACCTCATTACGGCGATGCGGGACTCCCTGGAAAACATGACCATAGCAGTCACGACGAACTGGAGGCAACTCCGGCAGACCGTGGCCCAGGATGTCGAGGACCTCAACCCTGACGCCCTCAATCTCAAATGGAGGTCGATTGTCGCGGCGATGGGCAGCCTCCAAATCTCAATCAACGACATAGTTGGAGTTGACGTAGCATTGCAAAACCCGGCTCTCTCTGTTAAGGGACCTGTCGACTGAGGATCAGGAGTTCAACTAAGAACTGG